TCAACACTAAGTAGCAAGTTTGCATATAAACTGCCTCTAATTCAGGAGGGCAAATTACTTCCCTGAAACATTTTCGGGGGGAGTTCAATACTGGTTACAGTACCCTAATTAAGACATGTCTTTATGTTGTTTTATTTACTGTCTAAGCTTTTTTTGACTGTAGATCCTACCACTATCGGCTATCAAACCCCTTGGTTGCTGTAGGTTTGTTTAGACTGAAATTACCTGGGGCTCCAGACAGGAAGGAGGTCAAGGTTTAGTACTTAATATTTTGCCCAGTTTTCACTGAAGTTTTACTGAAGTAAAGGGATGCTGCTACTAAAGTTCAAGGTGTTTCCAAGCCACTTGCATTTGTCCATTCATCTCTTAGAGTGCAGTACACACATAAAGAGTCTCCTAGGGGCGCCTGGGTGGCTCAGTCGTTAAGCGTCTGCCTTCAACTCAGGTCGTGATCCCAGGGTCCTGGGATCGGGCTCCTGGCACCTGCTCAGCGGGAAGCCTGCTTCTCCCTCTCCCACTCCCCCTGCTTGTGTTCTCTCTCTCGCTGTGTCTCTCTCTGTCAAATAAATAAATAAAATCTTTTGGAAAAAAAATCTCCTAAACCTACATCAACTCTCCATTTCTACATGAAAGCTTCCTGTCCCTTCAACTACTCAGGCCTGGAGGCTTAAACAAAATCCTTTCCAGATTATTGTTAATGCGGGGCCTGATTCTGTAGCAGCTGTTGTTTTGAACAATATGATGCCTCTCCTCCCCCCCGAGAAGTTGAAAGTGCCCATTTTGCAACACTTCCAACCTCTGCAGACTCAGAGAGCATAAAACGGACTGAGGGATGGACCTAAGACTCCTGTTTGGGAATTCTGGGCACAACTTAAAGACTATTGAATTTAGCCACTTCCTGACATTGACTTTCATAGCAAGAGTTTAATTTGGAGAAAATCTGCTACCTCAAATAGCTAAAGGTATTTATGTGGAAAATTTTCCAAATGATTGACTTCACTGTGTTGCTATTTTCTTTCCCCATGAATATGTGAGTATTTGGCTTTCTCCCAGGAGTTTTTCTGCATCACTTCTCTTGAGGCAAAGACAAGTTTCTATCCAGATTGGGAGAAGAAAGAGGCACCAAGAGTTTCCCCTTTTAAAGGGAATTATTATTTGAGTTAAAACCATAGCATCTGTATAAATGAAGAATTTGAGTGTGTTGCCTGTTTGCTTCAATTTTCTGTGGTAAATCCTCAAGGTGGCCAGAGTAATCTTTATCATCACTTTGGAGCCAACATAAGTATGATGGGCTGCGTGCTCCCTGCAGCACCCCCTGTCTCCCTCCTCCCCATGGCGGTGCCAGTCTCGCTGAGGGGTTGTCCCCACTCCCTATGCCCACCTCCACCTCGTGGGCTCCACTAATTCTTCAGCCACCTCTCTTCTGACTGCTCTTGCCAAGATCACCCATGACTCCCTCCTATTTAGCCCAGCGACCATTTGGTGTTATATCAAATCTTGCTGTAGCATTTGACATTGTTAATGCCACTTTCCTTCACTGCTTTGGCACTGTTTCTCCTCAGTCTCCTAAGATAGTTTCCTCTTCTGTCCCTTTCCTAAACGTTTCCTTGGCAATCACTCCTAGACCTACTTTTCTTATTGCTCCACACTCTCTTCCTGATTGGTTCCATCTGCTCCATGGCTTTGATTCCATGATGTTGATAAAGATCCCCCATCTACGTCTTCAGCCCAGATCTGTGAAGGCTGGTCTATGTTCAAACTGAGCCTAATTTCCTTCTTTTCCCGATTTTTCTAAGTTCCCAGTTGCAGTGAGGGACACCGTCACTCATTGTGCAAGAAAGAAACCTTAACTCCTTTCTTTATCTCTTCTGCTCTCCCATAAAATAAACAATTCCAATTTATTCTATTTCCTACATAAATTTTAAGTCCATGTCTCCTCCTTCAGTATCTCCTCAATATCTACCTCCTACCAGTTCCCTAGATTAGGAAACCATCAACTTGCCTGTGGACACCCCTCCCTGGTCTTGATTCTTTACAATTCATGTCCATATTATTACAGGAGAGGTTTTTCTGATCACCACATTTCTCTGATCAAAGCCCTCATGCTTGCAAAGCCCCAGTCTGGCATCTCCTGTGTCTCCAGCCTCAGCTCTTGGCATTCCTCATTTTGCATCAATCACTTTTGGTCATCCCGAATATTTTTTAGTTCTTCAAAAATATTGTGCTTTCTCACCTCTGGGCCTTCCTATGTTATTTTTCTCTGCCTGGAACATTCTTTCTATGCTCTCCCCCTCTGCTCCTTTTTCAGGTCTAAAATTCGGAGCACTTCCTCTTGGATGCTCCCTTGAATGCCCCAAGTCTGCAAAGGTGCCTCTCCCAAGGCCTATATCACATGGCCTCTTCAGAGCAAGGGCCCCCCCTTTGTCAAAATTACCTGGGTCTTTGTATCTCCACTAGATTGCCAGTTCTGTGAGGACAGAAGCCTGCCTCCCATGTTGAAATTGTATCTGCAGTACCTGACCCAGTGGTTGATGCAGAATAGGTGCTCAGTAAACATTTGTTGAATGAGCGAGTGAGCCTCAGAGTAAACCGTGAGCCAGGCTTCTTCAGACACAGGTTCAATTGCCTGACTCTCGTTTTTAACTTCTTCCTCACTAGTCAAGCTCCCCTAACTGGAACTACTATTACTTTTCCACAGCAGACAAAACTTTGTTGCAGACAAAGCACCTATATATCCCAAAGGAAGAGAAACTTTTCAAAGGTTCTGAGAATTAGCATATGGTAATTATCAAATCCCAGGGTATCTTTTAATTGAACCTTCACAGTAGTTCACTTAGCTTGTACTCCGTACATAAATTGAGTAGAACCTCATTAGGGAGGTTGTGTCATGCCTTAGTGAAATGGAGAGAATGAGCAATAGCTTCCCATGACATGGAGGCCTTGGAGAAAGGGAGCAGTCTGGTTCGTGGCTTCTTTAATCTGTGTATCTGACCACCGACTCCTGATATGGGAGATGAGGGGGAGGACAGCCACGGCCATCAGAGGAGTTCAGGATCTGCCTTCTAAGTCCGGTTGTGGGTTTTGTATTCTGCAAGAGTCTACTGCGTGCTTCCCTCCTTTCCTCTCCTGTGCTGCTGCTTTAATGTCAGCCTCAGGAACAGCCTGGTTTTAAAGATTTTTTCCTCCTCTGAAGGAACCAGGTGACTGCCAGGCTCAGCCTGCCAGTACTTCCCTGGGCTTCTTTTTCATTCACTCACTCTGCTCAAATGACACAGCTTCAAATGCCTTACTCTGTTCTAGCCATCTTGGACTCTTCCTTTCTCAGGACTGTGACCACGGGGCAAAACTTAAAAGTTGCCCACTCTCAGATGCCAACCCTATATTTACATAGGCCTGAGCATGAGTGCCTTTCTTGACTCACCCTTGCCCTAGCTTGCTCTCTCTCTCGCTCTCTGCCAGGAAGGCCAGCCTCCCCTCTACCACCATGTCTCTCCAAATGCTAATCCTTGAGACCCAGCTCAGATGCTGCCTCCTCCCTAAAACTCTTGCTGAAGCCTCCCAGTCTTTCCCACAATCCAGCAAATCCCCGTGGCCCTTTTTTATTCCTCTCTGAAGGCACTGCATACCTTGACTTGTTCTCAGGCCTCTCTTTTTGTCTCTATATTAAACTACAAACTTCTAAGGCTGTCTTTTTCTCAATGTGCTCATAATATCTAGCACAGGGGAAGCACACAGCAGGTATTCATGTCAGTGAGGTGAGTGGAGTAATCAAGGGGGAGAAGAGAGAAGAGCATAGTGGTTAGTAGAAGGGGGGGTGGGAGGGTCAGGGTCGGCGGGAGATCTGGAGCCAGTCTCCCTGGGTTTAATCTCTGGCTCCACCACTTTCTGGGTGTGAGAACATGGGCAAGTTACATCACCAGTCTATACCTCAATTTCTTTGTCTTGAAAATGGGATCAACACTGGTACTCGTGGTGAAGTCTAAATGAGCTAAAACACGTAAAGCATTCAGCAACAGACTTGATACATAGTGAACAGCTACATCAGTAAACCTCAAGATCCAGAATTAAAGAGGTCTAGTGAGGGTATATCTATGGAAAATGCAGGTATACACACTAAGGACAAAGCACATTTGTGACTGATGTCTTAAAGTTAAATCTAAACCATGAATAATGGAAGACCAAGGCAACGGCCTCATACTCGCTTGAGAACCCAAGTGTCTACTTTTTTAGGGAAGATAAATCTCATCCCTATAATTCAATAGAAGAGTGGCTTGGGCAAGAAGATGGGAAGGGGGGATGTCTAAAAAAGGCAGCAAAGGAGGGTCAAATGAGCTTGGAGGTATTGAAATGTGCTCTGGTTTAGTATCTGCTGATTTTAAGGAGAATGGGAACATAATGCTAACGGAAAATCGTGTTTTTGCTGCCATCTACAGTCAAAGTGCAATTTTTAAACTTACACACCCCCCCCCACACACACAAAGGGCATTCTTGACAAAATGAGTGACAATATAAAGTTTGGTTTAAGTTCCAATAATTGGGCATATTATTATAGCATTTTTTTTTACTATTCTTTCTAAAAGTATGTGTGTTTAACTAGTAACGTCGCCTTTTTAACATCTCAAATTGTGTAAAACTCTTCAGAAAACTGCTGGACTAATCACTCAGGAGTGAGAATGTCATCTGTTGGGTCGGATTAGCTGCAGCTGTGACAGGCTACAGACAGTTTGAGAGTCAATACAATGATTTCAGTGAAGGAAGAGATGGATTGGATATTACCCTACGTTTTCCTGCCCCCTGATCTGCAGTTCTCTGGTTCTTAGAATTATTGTAGCTTGCATTTTGTACCAGTGTATTTTGTTGTGTGGCTGTGAGAAATCAACCAAAAACAAGTAAAAATAAATTATGACTGTCATGTCACCTCTGACATGCCTCCTGCCCCTATCTGTGTAATTTCCATAATTATTATATTTTCCCAACGTCCTTGTGCATTATTTTTAAAGGGTTAAATATAGACAAGAATTACTGGAAAAGCGTTTGATGGAGAAAAAAGAAGTGGCCCTTCAAGAAGCTCATGAAGAAGAAGAGCGAGAGAGGCGGCTAGAAGCCCTTAGGAAACAGGTGTTTTTAATTTGGAAATTTTCATGGGTGGTTTCTAAGTGTCCATAACATAATTAGTAGGCTTAGTTCACAACCTCTGTGATATAAAATGTAACTTTTCCAAATTGGGACACTGATCTTCATTCCTGGGAGCAATTAGATTTATGTTGAACAATTTCCAGTTTCTTAGTATATTAAAATAACTTTATCAGCACCTTTCAAAAAGCTTTCCCAAGATTTAAATGCATCCATGTTACCTCTAGTTTATTAGCTGAAGAGTATCCACTTAAAGGAGTGAAACTGCATCTACCATAAGGATTTTATGCTCTCAAAACACCTGGTGGAGCTAGAGCAAGGTAATCCTCTTTGGGGTAGGAACCTCTGGAAATACCCTACAGTCAGCAAACGTGAAAAAACGCTTTTTAAAACTACTGTTTTTTTGTGAGAAAACCTCCCATTGTTTTGCCTAGTAAAAGTAGGCAAAAGTTTTTAACGTAGACAGCAGATGGCAAAAGCAGGAATTTAAGAATTTGAGAAATGTGATAAAATAGTTTTACTTGATAATTTTTCAGAGGTTTTGATCTGGAAGTAATTAGTTCAACTCATAAGCTCCAAAGTCCATTGACACCATTTCCCTGCTGATTGGAAATGACTGTCTGATTTCCCTTCCATGTCGGTGGAGACAACATGGAATCTTGGATAAGAACTTGGCCTCTGGTGTCCTTCAAACCTGGTACAACCTGGTTCGCTTCCTATTGGCAGAGGAAACTTAGATCTTTTACTTAATTTCCCTGAGCTTCGTTTCCTCCTCTGAAAGATGGGACTAATAATAGTACCTGCCTCATAGGTTTGTAGTGATGTGTTCACAGTTTAAAAATAATACTAAGTATAAAGCCCTCTTCTAAATGTTCTTAGGTTTTATCCCATTTAATCTCTACAACAACCCCATGATGTATGTATTGTTTCTATTTTATAGCAATATTCCTATTTTATAGAAGAGGAAACTGAGGATGCACAGGGGTTCCCCGAAGTCACACAGCTAGTAACTGTCAGACTGGATTCAAACCGAGGAGAGCTAGTTAAATGGCATAGTTTAGAGGAAGTGTAAATACATACAACTATTATATCATCATCTTTGATAAAATAGATGACAGAAATAAATTCAAAGCATAGGAATGTAAGTCCTGGTCATCCTAGATTCAACAAAAGTTAAATTATTTAATCATTAGCAAATAATTACATACCATGGCCTTCTGGGGACAAAACTTTAATGTCATTATTACTAAACACATTCTTGTTCACAATATAACTTTGATAACTACAGAGTCCATATGACTAGAATTCTTTCCATCTGTGAACTCTTTAAAAGAGGAACTATCTGTGCCCATTACCTGTAATCAGTGTTTAGAACTATAGTATAGGACATTTTGGCTAGGAAACCTATAATAATTAAAGTACGTTCAAACCCCAGTTATGTCATTATGGTTTCTAAATGGCATTAAAAATGCCATTTTCATTTCTTTTTTTTTTTAAGATTTTATTTATTTTTTTGACAGAGCGAGACACAGCGAGAAAGGGAACACAAGCAGGGGGAGTGGGAGAGGGAGAAGCAGGCCTCCTGCTGAGCAGGGAGCCCGATACGGGGCTCAGGACCCTGAGATCACAACCTGAGCCGAAGGCAGACGCTTACCGACTGAGCCACCCAGGCGCCCACAAAAATGCATTTTCTTAATGGTAATTCTTGACTTTAGGAATTAACAGGCAGGTGTTACTAATGGTGCATATGATTTACAAAATTAGTGGCTTCTTTTCATTAGGATACAGGTTTGAATGATTTCAATTATCATAAAGGACAAGGGCATTTAGGTTAAAATGACTCTACAGTTTTTCAGTAGAAGGGGAAACAATGGTTTACAACAATTCCTGGAAATCTAGTTGCTTAACACAATGGGATTCACCCATCTTGCCCAATAATGCCAACACAACTCCACTTTACCCATGAGTAATATTCTTTAGATTGAGCTTGATCAGATTAGACTTTCTAGAAATCTTCGTGGGGTTGTTACCATGTCCATATGTTGCTAGTAGATAAAAGTTGATGTTTTTTACTTTTGGTTACCTTTAAGGTAGTTCAATATGTAGGTTTTCTAGATCAGATTTCCTGTGACTTAGCACCAGAAAGATAAATTTTTATCTAAATTTAATCCTAACTAATAATTCAATCAGTAGCAAACAATATATATCATGGCCTTTTAACATGTTTTGTTTTTAAATCATTAACTCCTTTGTGGATCTCTAGGACTGGCCTGGCTTAATATTCTGTCTGCCTTCCTTCTTTGGTTTTATCTTCATTGAAGTTAGGAAATTTTACTAGACATTAAACATTAATAGTGTTCCCCAGAAGTAGTTAGCTTGTGTCTTAATCCAAGTAAGCCGTGTTTTTTCTTCTTTTAGGTTGCTATTGTTGCTCAGTTTGATCCTGTTAGAATGATGTCAGATACAACCGCATCAAAAGCAAGGATGGGTATTGGAATTGAAGAAGAATTTATTCTTCAAAAACCACTCTTTACAATGAATACATACAATGAATACCAGGTAATTATGGGAATTAGCATGATTAATGCAAAAGCTATGATGATAAGATTTATGGAAGTGTGTGTTTTGGGTTTCAGATTATTTTCAGTATTTACATTTGAATGCCACATGGATTAGCATAATTTTTACTGCTAAATGATAGCACACAATTACTGCCCAATTCTTAATGTTATAAAATAGTTGATAGGTAATCCTGGAACAGTTTATCTGAACATATTATGAATCTATCACTGAAAATTATTTTTTAAATTTACATTTTTATGTTAAAAATTATTTTTAAAACTTATAAATTTTACTTTAAAGTTGTGTTAATATTGTATTTTGTTTAAATGTTTCTCTATCAATTTGGAATTTGTTTAAATTCATAATGTAAGACCTATTAAAGCAACAATTGATGATACTGATAAGACACAGCAGAAGGAAGCTTTCAGAAATTAAAATGAGTTGAAGATAATACATCAGAGCTAATGATAAAAGAAAACATTTTCTGTGGAAAAGTATTAAGGTGTTATTTAACCATTTCCAGGAATTTCTGACTCCTTTTAGTCTGTTACTGAGAAGGGATTTTATTTATTTTTTATTTATTTTAAAGATTGAGAAGGATTTTAAAAAGTCTTTTTGGATGGATGGATGGATGGATGCATGGATGGAAGGCAGGAGGGAGGACAGATGAACGAATGGATGTCACTGAAATTAAGGGAGAAAGTAATTCCCCCTAGTTTGTTAATTTTACAAATCTAAGGAGAGAAGCTCAGTATTTAATTATTTAAAAAGTAAGAAACTCCATTCACCCACTGACAGATAAATCGAGTGTGCCTCTTTGTGAACGGTTCACTTATTAATTGGACAAATATTTATGGAACATATACTGTATTTGGCACTGTGGGGTTGCCAGGGCTACATCCTAAACAGGATGGACTTGTTCTCTCGGAGGAAGTGAGCAGGGCAGCTGGGTTGGGAGGGAAAGTAGCCTGTATGGCAATAATGCTGTGGGGTGAGACTACGCCTCCATAGTGGAAGTCTAAGGGCTGCAACAGTAAGGAGAAGGGAACCCATGGAAACGCTGACTAGGGAAGTCAAAGTGTCAAAGAGGAAACAGCTACATCTTAGTCGAGGAATCTTAGCAGCAGTAACAAAATTTATTCCAGGTGATTTAAACCAAATACAAAAAAATAGGTTGGGAGGAGGGGTGGGGTGAAAGGAGAGGGATTCATTATAAGGACGTAAGTGTGTCTCCAGAAGCCAAAGCAGGGAGAGCAGCTGGGGTGGACAAAGAATTGGTCAGAAACTGGAAAACTCTCGGGTACCTGGGCTGAGGCAATAAAGGGTTTCACCAAGCCGAAGAGGGTGGAAAGTGTAAAGTCCGTGGTAAGGGTGGGTGCTGGGACATGAGATTGGAAACATAGGTTAGGGTCAGACTGAAAAGTATAGTAGCACTTGCTTGCTAAGACATTATCCTGTGAGCACAGGCGAGACTCAGAAGCAGGTGAATTATATAATCAGATATGTTTTAGCAATGTGTCCTGGATGGAAAATTGGTGGGTTTGGGGTGTGTGTGTCAGATCCTTGTCAGATGGCAGAGCCCTCATAAACATGGGAGGGAGGGGCATGAAAGGCTCTGAGGGAGTAATGACTGTAAGCTAGATAGCAAGGGACACTGAGGAGAGCCTGCATTTTGGATTCAAATCCACACCCACTATATACTGGCTATGTGAACTTGTGTAAGCTATTAACATCTTTATGTCTTGTTTACTTCATCTGTAAAATAATAATTTGTAAGGTTCTTATGAGGATTAGGATAATAAATGTCAATTGCCTAGGATATTGCCTGGCACCTAGAAGTAATTCAGTAAATTATAATCATTAGCTGTGGCTGCCATTAACCATATAAGAATACAGAAGTAAAAACAGACTTAGGGAGGGAGAGAACTTGTTTTGTTCTTTTCATGTTTAGGGTGAAGATGTCTAGAACACATTTACAAGAAAATGATTGGCTGCTTCTGGGGAGGTGAATTGGGGAAATGGAGGTCAGCTTTCGAGGAAGATCTCCATTTCACTTGATATCTATTTTAAAAATAGGATAATGAGACATTTAAAAATTTTTTTTATTAACATATAATGTATTATTTGTTTCAAGGGTTGCACTCACCATAGCACATACCCTCCCCAATGTCTATCACCCAGCCACCCCATCCCTCCCACCCCCCTCCACTCCAGCAACCCTCAGTTTGTTTCCTGAGATTAAGAGTCTCTTATGGTTTGTCTCTCTTTGGTTTCGTCTTGTTTCATTTTTCCCCTCCCTTCCCCTATGATCCTATCTTGTTTCTCAAATTCCTCATATCCGTGAGATCATATAATACTTGTCTTTCTCTGATTGACTTATTTCACTTAGCATAATACCCTCTAATTCCAGTCACATCATTGCAAATGGCAAGATTTCATTTTTTTCTGATGGCTGCATAATATTCCATTGTATATACATATATATACCACATCTTCTGTATCCATTCATCTGTTGATGGACATCTAGGCTCTTTCCATAGTTTGGCTATTGAGGACATTGCTGCTATAAACATTGGGGTGCATGTGCCCCTTCGGATCTTTGGGGTAAATACCCAGTAGTGCAATTGCTGGGTCGTATGGTAGCTCTATTTTCAACTGTTTGAGGAACCTCCATACTGTTTTCCAGAGTGGCTGCACCAGCTCGCATTCCCACCAACAGTATAGGAGGGTTCCCCTTTCAGGATGAGACATTTTAAACCTCACAAACCAGAAATTGAGAAGACGGGTGATTCCAGGAGATAATTAAGGAGCACACAGGTGGAGCATGAATCCTTGGAAGTGGATGAGGGGGACCACAGAGACTATATCCTGAAGAGGAGAAACTAGATCTAAGGCTCAACTATGTTGCTTCTCAGACACAAATCTCTGTATTTTTAACTTGTATACATCATTGCCTCTAGTTTCTGTACGTCATCAGTTGCCAGAGTCTCTTGATTCTTCCCTTCATAATGTTTGACAGTTCTCTCTTCCTTGCTACCAGCCAAGCTTAGGCATTTATTACTTCATGTGTAGACCACTGTAGTAGACTGCTACTCCAGTGTTCTACCCAAACTGCCCTGGTCCCAAATTGACCTATTTCACCTCTGAATTTGCATGTGCCTTCCTTTCCTGCTCTATCTCTTTTCCTCCTTGCTCTGCTTCATAGAAAAATAGGGTGAACATTACAGTTAGCTCAAGTGCTGCTACTTACCTGAGGTCATCCTGTCTCACCTGCACCGGGAGAGGTACCTCTGTGTTCTACTCTTCTTGGAACATCATCCACATGTGCCATGAGCTGTAGTTATCTATATACATTCTTATTACCTCTATTAGCTTAAGAGCTTCTTGAAGGAGGGGCTGCTTTCAACAGCTTATTATTCTATCCTCTAGGGGGACTTCAAGTCCATGTAAAATGCCTCATTAGCTAAAATCCGTATGTGACTACCTTATCATAGCAAACAGCGTCTGTTGACATTTAATATTCATAGAAGAGGAAAAAGGCCCAATCAGCTATAAATGAAAATAGAAATTGAGCCACTCATATTTCAATTCCCACTTAGAATCACATTGGTGGAAACATTTTCTAATTCTGCTTGAAATAGAAATCCAGCCTTGGAAGGAGAGTTCAAGTGATTTTTTTGTTGTTGTTTTTTAAAGTAGGGACCATGTGTTTAAACACAATTTACATATTGCTGAATGACTGAGAAATTGAATGTTTGTTTAAAGACCAATGCACAAGGTTGTGGTTTAGGTTTATTTTAAACAATGATTGTCTATACTTTCTAATTCTAGCTATCAATAATGAATCAATGATAGTACTGAAAGTAAGTTTTCCCCCATCTTTTAATAATTTCAATGTGTTATATTTTGACGAGTATGATATTCTCTACACCTTGTGTTGGAAACCCACAGATATACTGGAAAATGATAATGTCAAGAATATTTGGACATTTTCGGGGCACCTGGGTGACTCAGTCATTAAGCGTCTGCCTTTGGCTCAGGTCATGATCCCAGGGTCCTGGGATGGAGCCCCGCATCGGGCTCCCTGCTCAGTGGGAAGCCTGCTTCTCCCTCTCCCACTCCCCCTGCTTGTGTTCCCTCTCTTGATGTGTCTCTCTCTGTCAAATAAATAAATAAAATCTTTTTAAAAAAAAGAATATTTGGACATTTTCTTTTCTTTTTTTCTTAAGATTTATTATTTATTTGAGAGAGAGAGAGAGCATGAATGAGCCCAAGCAGGGGGAGGGGCAGAGGAAGAGGGAGAGAGAGAATCCACAAGCAGACTCCCTGCCTGAGCATGGACCCCAACTTGGGGCTCCATCCCAAGACCCTGAGATCATGACCTGAGCCAAAATCAAGAGTTAGCTGCTTAACCAACTGAGCCACCCAGGTGCCACTGGATATTTCCAGTAAAAAAACAAACAAACAAACAAAAAAACACCTCAACAGAATATAGTCACTATATATACCAAGTTTATAGGCATCTACCCAGAAAAAACACGTTAAACAGCTTGAGGAAATATGGAACTAAATGATAAAATGTAATTTAGTTCAATGAATTGCTACTTATTTAAATGTATTTTATTTCTACAGATAATTTCTGACCCTAGACTCCGTTTCGAGTTAGCGCTTCGAGAAGCTGGACTTCATAAAACATTTTATGCCAAAGAGATATTACCAAAAATCAGTCCTCGAAAACCTCCAAGAAAGGACATGGAGTCTACTGTATTTAAAATCTAGAGTTCATCTGCAAATCCTATTATATGTAAATAAGATTTTTCTTTGAAAACAAACATTTATATGGATAACAATTACTACTTTCTAAAAACTTTTTAAATATCAGATATAGAAATCAAAGCATTCATTAAAACATCTTTGTCTTTTATGACTCAGGATTTCATAATGTCATGCACTATTTCCCGTATCTTTGTTGCGTCTAATAGTACTAAATTCAACAAGACTATGAAACGTAATTATGACACATGTGATACATGTATTATCATTTAGTAAATTGCATATTGGAGGTTGCATTATCCCATGAAAAGAGCTCAAAATAACCATTTGCAAGAATTATAATTTATGTTGCTAGTACCTGCTAAAGTTCATTTCTGCTTGTTATTTCAGAATTTGACTTTTTAATTATGGAAACTCCATTATCATTAATACTTCTATTATTTCTTGATTATTATAAGAGGAGACTCAACCTTTCTCTAAATTTAGAAACCAATTTGGTATACCATGTTTACTGCAAACCAATCATCCAAACAATTTCATCTTGCAAATTAGCCTGTAAAAATAAATTAGAAATTAGAAAGAGCATTTCAAGCATGGGAATATCTGTTTTGGCTTGGAAAAAATGTATTTGTATGGTTGTTTAGAAGAAATATTTTAAAATTTATAATTTAAATGCTATCAAAATTCCAAATTATCTATTTAATATCTAGATGGTATTATAGATAAGGAGCATTTTTTTAAAAAAAGATTTATTTATTTTTAGAGAGAGAATCTCAGGCAGACTCCCCACTGAGAGCCTACTGCAGGGCTTGATCCCACAACCCTGAGATCATAACGGGAGCTGAAATCAAGAGTCAGCTGCTCAACTGACTGAGCCACCCAGGTGCCCCATATAAGGAGCATTTCAAATAAAACTCAAGTGTAGGGGTGACTGGGTGGCTCACTTGGTTAGCATCTGCCTTCAGCTCAGATCATGATCTTAAGGTCCTCGAATCGAGCCCTGCATTGGGCTCCCTACTCAGTGGGGAGTCTGTTTCTCCCTTTCCCTCTGCCCCTCCTAACTCCCCCCACTTGTGTGCTCTCTCTCTCTCAAATAAATAAAATCTTAAAAAAAAAAAAACCATCAAGGGGCGCCTGGGTGGCTCAGTCGTTAAGCATCTGCCTTCGGCTCAGGTCATGATCCCAGAGTCCTGGGATCAAGCCCCGCATCGGGCTCCCTGCTCCGCGGGAAGCCTGCTTCTCCCTCTCCCACTCCCTTTGCTCGTGTTCCTGCTCTCGCTGTCTCTCTCTCTGTCAAATAAATAAATAAAATCTTTATTAAAAAAAACCGTCAAGCATATATTTCTTGCTATTTAAAAAAATTGATTATTTAATCAAAAGAGCAAGTCATTGTTGTTGGAAGTTGCCACTGTTACTGTTAGGAAGACTACCTCCACCCCTTTAAGCTCTTTTTCTCTCCATTGCAACTCCCTGCCATTTCCTAGGCATCTCTAGCCCAGAGGTTGTAGTTACTGCAATAATGTAAAAAAAGACAAAAACCAGTCTGACTAGTAGAATATTTGGCTTCATGATTATTTCCAACATGATGGGAATAAATAATGTAGCAAACACAGCTCATTAGAATAAACCTTCACTAAAAAGTCTATGGGCGAAACCCCTTATCTCTACCCACAAGTCATTATAATGACCTCCCAGTTCAGCCTTTTGCATCATCACATCTCATAATAATAAGAAGAAAAGGAATCCTTAACAAGACTCAGGGCAGTGAGCATTGGCAACTGTCTTGAGGATGTCTCCCACAGTCACAATTTCCTTTATGGGCCCTCGATTTACTTGACGCAAAACTTCAGACCATAAGCCATGAAAGCCCCGCTCTGTCAGAGCACATCCTCTCTCTGTGGCAAGACATATTGTGGTAATGTCTCTCTAGTGTTCCTTCCTTATCTGTAGGGATGTTATTCTACCTCCTAATCTTTTTTTTTTTCACATTAACATTAGATCTGATTCTTCCTTTGTTCATTTATATTTAACATTTTTTTCCTTAACTTTTAGAAATAATTGTAGCTCCAGATAATCCTTCTAACTTCACAGATCTATAGTTCTCTCTTTTGTTCTATTTGTGCAGTGTTCGAAAAATTTCGCAGCTTGCTTTCTGGAGCTATGTCCTCCCCTAATTTTATCTGGACCTGCTATTTCCTTTGACACTGCTGTTCCTGTGGTGCTCAATTTGCATTCTCCTTGCAACATTTTCTCATCGTGATGGAACTTTGTCCTAGAAGTTAAGTTTTGACTACTTAGTCTGGGACTTCATGGGACCCAGACTTCTGTGGCCCCTTCAAAGTTCACTGCAAACTCTTTATGCTCATTCATTATTAGAGTATAAAACCCCTCTCAGCTTTCTGAAGTTTCCAGTGAGTACTTCTTGGCTCTTTAGGGTTCTCTAGTCCGTCTGATGTCCCTTGCTTCCCTCTGTCCTGCAAAGGTGTTGGTATAAGCAGGTCTTACAGCTGTCCGTGGTTAACTCCTTACCCATTCATATTTTGTAGTGTATGGGAATTCCTTGTCACCTACTATTGAAGACTATCCCCATGGGTGTTTGGCTTTATTGTGCTATTATTTGTTTCTTTTTATAGGCTACTTTGAGGAAATTAAAAAATTATGCCACTTCTGCTGTCATCTTCCCAGAATCCCCACAACTGAATTCTTGATCCCAATGGCCTTTCTTGCACTAAACAAGCCCACCCCATTTCAGTAATGGCACCACCATCCACCACAGATGCAAACGTGAAATCTGAGGGTCACTCAGGCTGCCCCCTCTCCCTCACTAGTAATATCGAATCTATCAAGACCTACTGACTTTCTGGCTTCTACACTGGAGCCATTCTTCCAATGGAAGATACGCGCCATGCTTTGGGGCCATTCTCACATTTGGGGATTATCTCACATTAAGTACCCATTTCCCAGAGTAGAAGCTAGCTACTCCATTTTCCCGGTTCTCATGGTATATATTCTATGCAATTGAATGCACCTTTTTGAGATTTCATTATTAGAGAGCTATGTGAGAACCCAAGAATCCATTTTCTGGTGAGGCTAGTAGTGGAGGCTTTCAAGATTTGGGGGGTAATGGTTGCATAGCTGGTAGTCTCTAGCAGTCAGTGTAAGTGATGACTGTAGAGGTGCATGGGACTACCAGAGCAGCAGTGGGTCTCCATGAAGCAGTTTCCTGGTTAGGGTTGAGCATCTTCCCAGTTGGATAACCTCAAACACAGACTCTCTGGTCTCCCAGAAATACCTAACACTCTTTAATAAATTGCTTTTCTATTTAAACTAGCTTATGTCAGTTTGCTACTGTGGCGGCAGGGATACACTGATCTTTCTGTAGTTGCTGTTATGCACCAAGCACAGTCTCATGCCCTCCACTGATCTGTCTTTTAATATGTCCTCTCAATTACCATCTCCCCTCTCTTCAGAAAGTAGGAAGAAGAAAACAGTTCAGGCTTTTTTTTTTTTTTTTGGTCACCTTAATTGTTGAGTACCGTTTTTCACAGCAATGATTTTCACTCTAAGGAGAGACCAACTAGAAATTACTTTCTCTCTCCTCAAAGAGTTCAGTGCATTTCCCCATATCCAAAAAGTCCCATATAGCATTTTTTTTTTTTTTTTTTTTGGGGGGGGTTTTTTTTTTTTTTTGCGAGAGAGAGAATGAGAGACAGAGAGCATGAGAGGGAGGAGGGTCAGAGGGAGAAGCAGACTCCCCGCCGAGCAGGGAGCCTGATGTGGGACTCGATCCTGGGACTCCAGGACCATGACCTGAGCCGAAGGCAGTCGCCTAACCAACTGAGCCACCCAGGCGCCCTCCCATATAGCATTTTTAAAAAGCATAAAGAGCCTGGAGCTTCCTATATCTGGTATATATTTGCTTATTTTTTATGGAGCCTGTATTTTCTTGGGTTTTCTTTTGGCCTCATTAAAACAACTCCATCATCTCCTTAGCTGTGATAGATTTTAAGTTCAGGACACAGAGGTCAAGTATAAAGTCATTTTGAAGGTAAAGACATTTTTAAGGAAACTTGGGGAAATTAGAAACTTTTTAAGATCAAGACTGTGTTTGGCTGGAGAATCTAAGATACAGAATTTTTCAGATCTCAGTCAAATCCTAGGAATGATGAAGTTTCACCTAAGGAGAGAAAAAGATCTGAGAATTCTGTTTCTGACATCTGATCAATTTGTTTTGGAAAAATGTTACATGCTTCCTGATGCATTTGAAGATGAGCACTTGCTAGATTACTGCTGAGTACCAGAGCGGTCCTGAGGGGGAAAGTTCTCAGGAACTTAGACATTAAGCATTTAGGAAGAGTGAATATTGCACTTTGAGCCTCAGCGTGGGACTGGATTATAATAATAGAATCCATGAACTGTGTGACCTCATGGAATCAAGTCTCAATCCTGAGAGAGAAATATGGCATCAAATCTGTCCTGTTCTTGTCATGTTAAAATCTCCAGAAAGATGTTTTCCAACCTCCACAGCAATTCCTCTTTTTACACGAACAAGTGCCTGTGTTCTTTTTCTTTCCTATCTTCAATAGCATTTGAGTCTACATTTTTCACTGCTTAGCCTGATTCAGGTTTGTATTTAAGTACATGTTTTAATGTCACTGTAGGCCTTACTAATTTACCAAGTGCCTTTTTTCCCTCTCAGAGAATGTATTATTTTGTATGTGGGAATGTAAGTGTGGGGAAAGAGTAGTTGCATTATTTCCCTCTGTTTTGCACATTTTCCCAGACACGTCAATATTACTTAGCACCACATATGCTTAAAGTTCCTAATATTTATAAATAATTTCAAAAACAATTTGCTTACATTTCTTTAGACATTTTATAAATGTTGTATTAATCTGAAATGCTTACCTTCACAGTATATTTCAAACAAATGCTGCAAAAATTGTCCTGTTACTGTTGAAATATTATAAATTAACTTAATTTGGGAAGATTATTAAAAGTAGTATTTATTTTTAAACTTACCAAAATGAAATAAAACGTTCCTTGAAAGCAAAAATAACTGACTTGCTAAAGGAAATCCAGCACAATGCAACATGAATTTATGTCCATGTAGATTAGGACACTGCTATCTGGAAAGAAAAGATCTAGATAAAG